CTCAGGCCTGGAAGACATTTAACCATATATTGCCTTTGGCTGTTTTAGGACAGCTGTTAGGACATTGGTCTCCCCATGCAGAGAGTGAGTTCTCTGCTGTTTCAGTAGATCAGAAGGGCTCCATGGGTACAAGCATGGCTGAGTGGTAATGCTCCCAAACCAAGCAGGCCAAGCTGCTTGTGCATGTTCCAAGTCGGGGACTCACCCAAAGCTCAGATCCACTTCTGGAACTGTCTCCCTTGGGCCCACAGAGCTGCTTATCCATGGGGCCCAAATAAGTCAATACAGTGTCTCCCCCACCCCACCTTCCAGCACTGTTGTTGTTTTGTGCCATCAAGTCGGACTCGACTCATAGCGACCCTTCCTTGGGTTTCCAAGGCAGTATCACTATGGAAGTAGATTGCCCAACCTTCCTTCTGAGGATTGGCTGGTGGGTTTGAACTGCCAGCCTTCTTGTTAGCAGTCAAGTGCCTTAAGCATTACGTGCCAGCACTGTTGTTGTTGTTGTTGTTTGCTGTCGAGTCAGCCCCGACTCATAGCGACCCCTCCTTGGGTTTCCGAGGCAGTATCACTACGGAAGTAGGATTGCCCAACCTTCCTTCCGAGGAGTGGCTGGTGGGTTTGAACTGCCAGCCTTCTGGTGAGCAGTCAAGTGCCTTAGGCACTATGCTACCAGAGCTCCTACGTGCCAGCACTAGTGTCTATAAATTCCATCCTGAACACCTGCTGTGTGCAGATCCATATTTGGGAGGGGGTGGAGAGGATAAGGAGAAAGGTTATGGGGTCCCTGCTCTCCATGAGTTCACAATCTAGATTGGGAGAGAAAATTCAAAAGCAGGAAAGCCAGAGCAGGTCTGAGGATGGGTGGCCATGGCCAGAGCTGTGCCATGAGGTTCCAGTTGGTGCCACAGGGAGAGAAGCTGAACACAAAGAGGAGTAAAGGGAAGCAAGGGAGCAGAGGGTCATAGCAAGGCCTGAATACCTGAACCCCTGATCCAAGTTCCCCACACATGGGTCTTCTTGACACCACCAAAGATGAGTCAGCTGTAAAATGTAACCCCAAACACAGCAAGATGAGGAGCACTAGTTCCCAGCTCCCTCTTCCGCTTGCTGGCCTTTTCCCTTTTTGTGGATAGAATAATTGTGACCATGAAGTGGCACTTTGAGAAAGTTTTAAATCTGTTTAAATGTCACAGTGAGTAATACTTTGCCCCCATCTCTCCCTAATTGCATTTCTCTTCGAAGATCTAAGATTAAAAAAATTTTCACTCAAATCTTCCTAGAATATCAAGGGTGAGAATACCAAAGAGCCAACATAACCATACTCCATACTATTTTCTCAGGGGTCCTGCTCCAATATGGCATTAGTTTGAGTCACCTGTCTGTTATTTTATCTCCAACACTCTGGCACTGGCCGAGAAGTGGGAGTCTCAAAGATGCAGCTCTGTGCCTTTAAGAGATCAATGCATGGCTGCTTCTGCTGCTGTTTACACAAGGTAGCTCAGTTATGACAGGCCTGGTCTCCTGGCTGCTTCTGCCCCATCAAGCACAGGGAGGGGTGGCATTTCACCTTATACCTACCAGAAAACTGAGCAGTGAGGGACCTGCTACCCCCTCAGAGGAGACAGCCCCACTCTAAAGCAACTCATCATCAGGTGGGATAGATGGAAGGATGAGGACTCTTCCCCTAAGAAACAAGGAGCTCCCTGGGCAGCTCTGAGTCCACACATGGAGAAACACACGGATGGGCCCTGCTGCAGGGAGCAGAGGAGCAGCCCTGCAGGGAGCTGACTGTATGGGGGAGTTTTTGTAGGCATCTGAAATAATGGATGCCCCTTGCCTTAACAATCCCATTCCCCACTCACTCCTGCCTAGGGACTGCTTTCATTTATGTATTGACTATTATTATTAATAATAATATGAATAATTAAACAACTTTGAATAATTTACTGGGACCTGGGAGTGGCTGAAGGGGTGGCAGGAAGAAGGGGAGGATGAACCTCAGCTGCCTTCCCCTGCCCGGTGCCCTCCAGTCCCTGCTCCCCTTGGCTCAATCCCTTCACTTTCCATTGTCACCACTTCAGGGTTTTGGTGCTTTTTTGGTTATTGTTGTTGTGAGTGGCTTTTTGTTTTGTTTTGTTTTGTTTTGTTTTTGAGAGGTGGGGGAGGCAGAGAGAAAGACCTCAAGTAGCAATCACATTTTTAAACTCCCCTGTGAGGGCAGAAAATACATTCCTCTCAGCTGTGAGGCTCTGGGAGCCAAGCACCAGAGCCAGAGGACGATGTTTGAAGAGGTATTTTGGACAAAGTTCTGGTCTCTGCTGATGCATGCTGGTGGGGTCTCAGCTAGAAGTGCACATGTGCGCGCAGCGGCGCACGTGCGCGCACGCACACACACACTCGCACGTGCACACACAAAGAAGAATGTGGATACAAACAGAGTCTGTGCACATCCACACTGCATCCACACACTCACAGTCCTGATAAGACATACACACGCCACCAACCCGTACATAACAAGACCTCCTTGTGCCCACTAGGGACATGCCCACCCTATCACTGCACTTCACAGGCATGCTAAACACACAACACACGCAAACGGGCTCTAGGTGTGAGTTTCTATTCGATTGCATCAACTTAGGTGATTCTTAGACTGTCATGTAATGCTGGACAATGTAAGCCTACGAAACCGAGTTATGAATCAATTATACTTACACACGACTCCATCAAGCCAAGGCAGGAGAAGCTAAAATGAAAGGTTGAAATTCCGCAGTTTCCAGAATTATACTTGCTGTTTGTTTTGGGCCCCGGGATCCTCCGGGATTGGCCTTCTTGGCTGGCTCAGGCCTGGGGCTGCGAACCTCGGGACCTCGGGCCTCCTCCTCTGGCGCTGCCTCTGCTAGAAGAGCCCCCCGTGGTGGTCTTACCAAACGGGCTTGGCCTGGGTTTTCAGGCATCTGGGGTCTCATTTCTTTAAACAAGATTTTAAACATCGTCTAGTAACCTAATGTAATCCGGGGGCAAGAAAAAAGAAGCCCTGAACACCAGAAAGTGGTCGGCAGAGCCCGGTCAGAGTGGGCCAGCAGCTCCGCCCCAACACCCCGGCTCCTAGCCCGGCAGCCCGCGGGGGAGCAGGCGCGTTATTTTAATTTGCCCGGCTTCTGAAGCCAAGAAGAGGTCGCCCTGGAAAAGCAAATGCAGGAGAAGCTGGGATGAAAATAAATGCCATTAAAATGAAAATTGGCTTCCCCTCCCCAAATTCCCCACCAGGCATTGCCGGCTCCCGCGCCGGCCACTCCCTCTCCCGCGCCACGATGCTCCAGCCCCGGCGGGCCTGGCAAGGACCCCGGCGGAGTCCGAGCAAAGCGGCGGGACCCTGGGCTCTGGCCCACCGACGCTATTCCCCGCCTCGCACCTCCGAGGCTGGGGGCGCTCCAACGAACGCGGGAGTAGCGCACGCCGCGCGAGTCCGGGTCCGACCGCAGCCCGGATGAAGGTTCGGGGTCTTTATTTCTTGGGTGGTGGATTAAGAAGAAAGAAAGAAAGAAATCAATTCGAACCAGTAAAGCAAAAGCAGGCCGCTTTCCCGGGTGGCTCTCCGGACACCGCGCCCAGGGGCTTCTTCCCTCGCTGGCGGGCGCGGCGGCCAGGGCGCCCCACTCCAGCCTTCCTCCCGAGCCCGCCCTCCCCGCCAGCCGCCGGCCGGCCCCGCCGCCGGGCTCCTGGGCGGGGGCGACCGGCGGGATGGAAACACCCACCTCCCGCCTTCGCAGGAGGGCTGGGGCAAGGGTTGCGCCCCGCAGCTCAACGCCCTGTCGCCCGGACGCGGCCCGGCTGCTCCCCAGACCGTGCTCCCAGGTGGCTCGTGTGGCGGTCGCTGTCGGGAGGGAGAGCGAAGATTTGGGACTTGGCTGGTAGGTTGGGGATGCGGGGAGGAAAAAAGCAGAAAGAGACAGAGACAGAACCAGCCAGCGAGAGCTCTTGTCTGTAGATTTAGCCACATAATATATATTTATGTCGTTTTTTTCTCCCGACACTGATCAATGCGTACTCAGATCGCTGGGTGAACTCCCTCCAAGCCAGCTCGCGTTTTTGAGTCTAAACAAATAAGTGCAGCCAGATGGGAGAGCAACGCACCCCTTCCACCTCCGCCGCCGCCGCCTGCGCCGCCGCCCCGCCCGCTGTCCCTGCCTGGGCTTCGCCCGCTCGGCGCCCAAATAGAGCGCGGCTCCGCGAAGAACGTCCCCCTCTATCCCCACACGGAAAGGAAAAAATCACTATTTCTAAAATACAGAAAGTTGCACCTGCTGCTATTGCAAAAAGAAGCCCCGAAAGGCAAAGAGAGGAGGCCGGCAGCCCGATTCCTAACAGGCACCCGATCCCCGCGGCCGCCGGGCCCGGAATCTCTGCGCCTCCCGAAGAGCCATGCGCCTGGCGCTATTTATAGCCGGGG